GGAGTGTCAGAGACAGTGCGATTGGCACAGGACAGAGTGGAGTTTAGGGCTGTTGTACATAGGGTCGCTATGAGTCACAAGTGACTCAACGGCACATAACAACAACAATAACAACAACACAACATCTATGATTAACACCGTCACCCCCACCCTTGCTCACCCCTGTGCTTCCACCCTCCTCCTCTTGTATCTACCTCATTCTACAATAATAGTTTTCTATAGTATTTGTCCTTATGAGACTGAGATAGTTCACTCAGCATAATGCTCTCCAGTCCCTCCCAAGTTAGGTAGTGAGTTACAAAATCTTTGATCCTGCATGCTCCATCATATTCCATTGTGTGAATGTACCATAGTTTCTCAATCCATTTGATTGTAGTTGGACATCTTGGCTGTTTCAATGTTCTTACAATGGTGAATAACACTGCTATGAACATTGGTATACAAATCTCTGTTTGTGCCTCGGTTTTTATTTTCTCAGTATATATTCCAAGCAGTGGAAAAGCTGGATTATATGGAATTTCTATATTCAGCTTTTTGAGGAAGTGTCAAACTGCCTTCCAGAATGATTATACCATATTACAATCCCACCAACAATGTTTAAGAGTTCTTCCTATCTCTCCACATCCTCTCCAACATTTATTACTTGCTGTTCTGTTAAATTTTACTACTGCTACTGGAGTGAGATGGTATCTCCTTGTAGTTTTTTTTTTTACCTCTCTCTTATTGCCATGATATGGAGCATTTCTTCATGTGTCTGTTGGTCATTTGAATATCTTTCTTCATGAAAGATCTTTCCATGCCTTTTGCATATTTTTTAATTGGGTTATTAGTCTTTTTCTTGTGGAGGTCCAGGAGTATTCTGTAAACTTTAATTATGAGACTCTTGTCTAAGATGATACTGCCAAATGTTTCCAGTCGGTAGGTCTTCTTTTCACCTGCTGAAAAAAGTTTTAATGCACACAAGAATTTCATCTTTAGAAGGTCTTATTCACCAATTTTATCCTCTTTAGAGTGTACATTTCTGGCTGGTTTTGGCAGTCTCTTTATACCATAGACTAGGCCTTCTAAGCTTGATCCCAATTTGTCTCTGATGAACTTTATGGTTTGGTGCTTTACTCCCAGGTCTCTGATCCACCTTGAGTTGATTTTTGTGTATGGAGTAAAATGTGGATCCTGTTTCGGCTTTCTGCAATTAGCAGTCCAATTTTGCCAGCACCATTTATTGAAGAGGTTATCATTTCTCCATTTGATAGGTTTTGTTTTCTTGTTGAATAACAGTTGACCATCGATAGCTGGGTCTATTTCTGGGTTCTCAATTCTGTTCCATTGGTCTATGTGCTTATCATTGTACCAGTACCATGCTGTTTTGGTTACTACTGCTACTGCTGTATTTTTTTAAAAAAATTTATTTTATTCTGATTTATTTACAAAGTTTGAATGCATTGCTTTTCACAAAAGATTCTTCCCATTTCCTTTATCCCACCCACCCATAGAATTGTGCAACCCTACGATTAACACCCTATCCCTTCATCCTCACTCTTCTCTTTCTACCCTCCCCCCTCCCCTGCCTTGGATCCTCATACTCACCCTATAATAGTGGTTGCATACTATATTTGTCCTTGTGGTACCGAGTTAGTTCACTTGACGTAATGCTCTCCAGTCCCTCCCAAGTTGTAATCTAAAAAAATCATTTCTCCTGTGTGCTGTATAGTATTTCATTGTATGAATGCACCACAACTTCTCAATTCATTCGTTTGTGGTTGGACAACTGGGCTGTTTCTGTGTTCTTGCTCTGGTGAATAATGCTGCTATGAACATCCGTGTATGGGTTTTGGTTTGGTGTTTGTTTGTTTTGTATGGTTTTGAGGT